GCTTATTCCCGATCTGAGACCGTGGCGGAAATGTAAGTTCAGGAAGTTCAGGAGGTAGTTTTGGCACCTTCACTAATAGAATAGGCAAATCTTCCTTGGCAGACTGTACTGTTTGTGGAGTACCGAATGCTCTCGCCCACCTGTTTAATCGCCAGATATGGGCAAATGGGATGGGAGATTTCGAGAGGCTAATGGGTTTCGGGCTGGATGAAAGAAAATTGTAAACATAATAGGTAAAGAAATAATAAATAAGACTTACTCACAATCGATTTAATTTAACTATCAGACGACCGGTTTCGCTTTCTACAATATGCAAAGCATCTTCAGGTCTCGATACAAAGTTAAACAAATGCTGAAATGATAAAAACCCATATTAGGGTGTTGTCTAATAAAGATAAACAAATTAGATGTTATAAATTACAGTAATTATGCCAATATTACATGTCTGTGATTTTATTTAAATGATTGAGTTGAATAAAAGGTATAAAAAATTTTTTTAAGAGGGTTAAAAAGACAAGGTAAGGCCCACAAATTGTTATAAAATCTCTTCTATTGTAATAAATTAATAAATGAGCAAATAAATAAATAAAATAAAATTACTTACATGCCGGTACTCTATTAATAGATGGATGGTAGAACATGTTTCATGTTCATTTCAAACATGTTCTACCATCCATCTATTAATAGAGTACCGGCATGTAAGTAATTATATTTTATTTATTTATTTGCTCATTTATTAATTTATTACAATAGAAGAGATTTTATAACAATTTGTGGGCCTTACCTTGTCTTTTTAACCCTCTTAAAAAAATTTTTTATACCTTTTATTCAACTCAATCATTTAAATAAAATCACAGACATGTAATATTGGCATAATTATTGTAATTTATAACATCTAATTTGTTTATCTTTATTAGACAACACCCTAATATGGGTTTTTATCATTTCAGCATTTGTTTAACTTTGTATCGAGACCTGAAGATGCTTTGCATATTGTAGAAAGCGAAACCGGTCGTCTGATAGTTAAATTAAATTGATTGTAAGTAAGTCTTATTTATTATTTCTTTACCTATTTGAAATGGACTCACACAAGCAACACATTCATGATTTGTAAACATAATGTTGAGAGGGGAGAAAGAATGGATAGAAGTACACTCTCTGATTTCTGGGTTGATGAAGAAAAAGGAACAGGAGGACAAAGGAGAAAATTGATCCAGGGATCTGAAATTTATGGTTAATATTATTTATTAGTTTATGGCCTAACGTCTGAAACATTTTCTGATTTACGGTAAAGGTATGGTTATTTATAAATTTTTAGTTTTTTTATTTTAGTTGTTTATTGAGTGGCAAGACCACCTCTCTGGTGGTTAAGATTTTAGCCGGAACACGGTAAATCCGGCACTACCCTGGGGTCTTCTGGCCTAGTATCCTACTCGGCTTAAAGATGAAGGGTGTCTTGTTCCGTGTCCAAAAAAGATTTCCCCCACCGTTGCCTGTCAGAATTCAATGGATACCTTCTTAGACTCTTACTGGAATCTAGCAGTACAGTAAAAAAAAGTCTTCTCCCTAACTATTTTCTTTTCTTACCTTCTTTTCAGTAAAATTTTTAATTGTTACTTTCCCTTCACACTTTGACGATTCCATTGCAATGCTATCTTTTTTACGAATTTTCGTTATTTAGTTTATAAAATTGCCCCAGAGATTAGCCAAGCAGACTATAGTAAAATGATGAAATATTGTCGATACTGGTTTTTGAGTAATGGCGTTAAATAAAATTATCATGATATGATGACTTCGTTTAATATTAGCACACGACAGTAACGCGTATGCCAATTTCTATAAATAGATTTACATCTAAATTTTTCGAATGCTTCATTGTACAATAGGTTTTTTTGTATATATTTGATTTACGTAAATAAATACGGGGTATCTTCAAATTATTTTTAAAAGAATAAAAATTCTGAAGACAATTGTGTGTCAATTTATAAAAATAGAAAAAACACACCTACATTTTCTTACTTATCCGCTGCTTTATACAGCATATCTTGTTTACCGTTTATTCCATTCCAATCGCCATTTCTTCTTATCATAAGTATAGGTATATATTCAGAATCATATAATATTCAGAAAATGCGAAGCGGATATGAGTAATAGACAATTTGACTTTTGTAACGGCTTCGGAACAGAGAAAGCTGTGTATAGATTCACAATTCTTGCCCAAAAATGTCGAGACCAACAAAAAGATATTTTCGTTGCGTTTATAGACTATGAGAAAGCTTTCGACAAAGTTAAACATAACATTCTCATATAATGTCTAAAGAGAAAAGGACTAGACAAAAATGATATTAACATAGTGAGAAATCTCTATTGAAACCAACAGGCTGTGGTAATATTAGATGGAAATAGCACGGATGCGCAACAGATAAGTAGAAGAGTGAGACAGGACTGTGTACTTTCACCATTACCATTTAATATATATTCCGAAGAGTAATTTACGTAAGCACTTAAAACTGTACATAAGGGATCAAGATAAATGGTGAAAATATAAATAACATCCGTTATGCTGACGATACATTTATTATCGCTGAAAGTGAGACAAACCTGCAGATGTTACGAAACACAATTTGTGATACTGGAGAACAGTTTGGTTTAACAATAACTATAAAGAAAACAAAAACCATGGTTATCAGTAAGAGGAGCAAAGTTATTACAAGGATCCAGATAAATATGACGATTTTGAGCAAGTAGACAAAATGAAATCCTTATGAGTCTGGATTATGGAAGATATGAATCAGAAATCAGAAATGTACTCAAGAATAGAGCAATCAAGAGCAACCTTTTTGAAGATGAGGAAATTTCTAAGTAACCAAAAACTCAATCCGAAATTGAATCGGCAAATATAAAGTACTTAAAAATAAATTTAATCTAGTTCGTATAAAAACATTAAAAGAAAATAATTGTCGAAAGACAAGAAGAACCGGAAGATATCAGAAAAATATAGAAAAGAAATAATATAAGAATTATAACTTAAATATCGTAGATGAATATAAGAATTTAAAAAAAATATTTATTTGCAAAAGAGAAATGTAAAGCAGGAACATTCATTTAATTCAAAACTAATATTAGTTGACCTTTTTAACAATATTTTTATTCACCATGACTTTCCTGATCTATGGTCGCAAGCAACCATAATTCCAATCCTTAAATATAATAAACACATAAACAGACAATCTAATAACACTTGAATCAAGTATACATGAATCCTTTCCGCACAACCAAAAACTTATTGCCGTATTTTTTGGCATAAGAAAAGCATTTTCTTTAATGCTCTAAGAAAAGATGTCTCCACAACATGGATAAAAACGTGGATAAAAACACTTTAAGAATGGGACGTTCAAGGGCATATGTTGTCCTTTATTTAAAATTTTCTAAAAACACGAACTTTTCGAATTAGAACAAATGGATTCACATCTTCCAGACGAGTATTTAAAAACTGTACTCCACAAAAATCTACTCTAAGTCCTACTCTCTTTCTAATTGCAATAAATAGTATTATACATCAAATAAAACTACCTGTTTTTGCTAGCCTATAAGCAGATGACCTAGTCATTTCTCTAAAAACAAACAATGTAACTCTGGAAACACATATACTGCAAACTACCTTACACACAATTGAAAGCTGGTCGCAAAACACGGGTTTTATATTCTCTAGTGAAAAGACACGATATTTAATTTTTAGCAAAAGAAACAATTATCCTAATGTTCAATTAACATTAAATGAAGTTGTCCTGAAACACGCAGAAAAAATAAGTTTCTTAGGACTTTCTTTTGAACGTAACTTAAACTGGAAAAGCCACATAACCAATCTGCAACGTACTTACCAATCCAGAATTAATCTACTAAAAATGCTGTCAAATACCTCATGGGGGCAGATAAAACAACCTTACTTACTCTCTACAGATCACTTATATGAAGTAAACTAGACTACAGCTGCTTATGCTACGATACTGCTAACAAAACATCTTACGAAAAACTTGACTATCAAAATATGTACTTAACATTAGTTTTAGGTGACACAAGAACTAGTCCAGTAAGTAGCTTACAAGCTCTGGCTAATGAACTACCCTTAAGCCAATGAAGGCAACTCCTATCACTAAATTACGTTGCCAGAATTTTAGCAAACAACAGCAACGTAACCTATTTAACAATACTTTGCAGAACAAATATATCGTCCGATCTTTACACAAACATTGCATTAAAAAAACTACCATTTTCTGAGCGAATAAAACGTATTGGTCTTAATTTAGAACGATTCAGTCTTTCTATGCCTATTCATGTAAATTTTCCTCCTTGGATGGATCAAACCTCCAAAAATAGACACGTCTCTAAAAGAACTCCCGAAACATTCCACACATTCTTTCTGTAACGTTACTGTAACGTTACTGTTAACCAGTGTAGTCTTCTAAACGTATTAACTGGTGTAATTGAGAGTTAAGTTAGTTAGTTAGTTAGTTATACACATTGAGAAGAAGTCTTGAGTTGAAGTGAATTTTTAAGAAGAAAATAATTACTAATTGATCGATTTTATAACAACCTATAAACTGTGTATGGTAATTAGCTATAATTATTGAACTAAAACGAGGTAATTTTATATTAAAAACGAGGTAAAATTAGTCTATTAGGAAGGAACATTCCTTAAAAATAAGAAAAACCCATGCGGTAAATTTTGGCTGCAACTAAAAACATTCTAATGATTCAAACTTTAATATTTTTAGATTGAGATAAAAAATATTAGATCCATTTGTTTTTCGCCTCTCCTTCCTGCTTCCTTCTTATCAGCTTAGAGGTCTTGTTTGGCTTTTATGAACCTCAATTATTATATATAAATAGCTGTGTAATTAATTGTATGATATTTACTATGAATAAATATCATATAATTGATGTTTTAAATTAATGATAAAAATTATTTTATTAGATATAATTGAAAGATAGGAACTTACCGTCATCGGCGTAAGTCTCTGACCCATATCCATCCTGTAATCCATTTGCCCAAGTGCCTTCATACTTGGCAGTCGACGTGTTTGATTGTCGAACTCCGTATCTGCCCTTGAAACCTTGCGTCCACTCACCCCTATATATCCATCGACCCCTCGTCTCCACACCCAGGCCATGCCTCTTTCCATTTTGCCACTGACCCTCGAAACAACTTCCACTAGAAAAGAAATAAGTAGAATAAGTACCTAGATATATTAAAAATAAATTTAAATATATAATTGATTAAATTCAGTGATGTGTTAAAAATCATTTTAAAAATAAGATATTGTTACTTTTGTTGAGAAAATTCCCCTGGCTTACCTAAATAATAATAAAACATAAAAAAAACAAAATTAGTTTAATTTACTATGTTTGTACCTAAATAATTATTTGAAAACCTAATTAGAATCATTTCTGTAATATTTGTATGATTTATTACGTCACAACACTTCCCAATGTTCATTAAAGATTCTTTGGTAAAGTTTCAGCAATTCTTCTTCTTCTTCTTCTCGTAGCACTACAACCCGGGGTGGGTCTTGGCTGACTGAAAAACTTGCTTTCATCTTGAATGATTGTTCATGATAGTTGGGTCAGTGGGTAGCCCCATTGTTCTTAGATCTGACCATTCGCATTCGTGGACGTCCCAATGGCCTTCTTCCTGTAGGAACTTCCTCCCATATTAACATGGCAAGGTGGTTATTAGGGACTCTATCAACGTGGCCAGCCCATCTTGGATGTTGGGATTTAATCTCTTGGACTATGTCCCCAGCTCTATACATCTGCTTGACCTCAGCATTCGGTATTGGTTGCTATTAATGACGTGATAAGACCCAAAAATTCTTCTGAGGATTTTTCTTTCAAAACATCTTGAATGCTTTCTAGGTCCTATTTCTTAGGTGGATTAGTCCCTTTTGTTTATGCTATCTTCTTAACGACATCTCTCCATTTTTTCCTGTCTCTAGTTTTTCCTCTCCATTCATTGACTCCTACCGTGTGGAGGTCTTCGTTAACTTCTTGCAGCCACTTTAATCTTGGTCTTCCCCTTCTATTTCTTTCTCCTGGATTCCATTCTATCATTGTGTATGTCACTGCTTCATCTCCTGCTCGCCAAATGTGACCTAACCATCTAACTCTACATTACTTTATTTTAGTGGCGATGTTTTTTTTAAGTTCTGCCTAAATCTCTGCATTTGTTCTGCTTCTATATTCATTTTGCTCTGTTCTGATTAGTATAAATATGATTCTCATAATCTTGCTCTCCGGTATTCTTAAGTCCTTTCATCTTTTTTGACCACCATCATTGTTTCTCCTGCATATAATAACTTTGACCTAATTATGGTGTTATAAATGTTCATCTTAGTTTTCTTAGGCAGTGTTTTGCTTTTAAGTAATCTTTTGTTTGCAAGATAAGCTTAATTCGCTGCTTATTTTTTTTCTTTTATTTTAGACTTTCATTCCCTGGTTTTGCTTATTCTAACTCTTAGGTTTTTGAAGGATTCTACTTCTTCAAACTCAGAACTTCATATTTTGATTTTTTCTTCATAGACTTTTTCCCTAATCTTAATATTTTTGTCTCTTCTAGATTTAATCTTAGTCCCATTACCTCTCCTTTCTCATTTGACTAACTCTTGTTCTGAAATTTTCTGTATTTATATTTCGTAGTACATATTCTAAGCCTAGATTAAATAGCGTTGTTGATAGAGCGCTGTCTCTCCTCTTTGTGTCTTTATACCAATTTTTGTAATTATCATTGTCATTTCTATTCGTTTTCTGAGTTTATGTGGAATATTTAATTTTTTAAATGTGATCATTAATCCTTTCTTTTTAATTGAATATTAAATGCCTGTTTAAAGTCTATGAATAAAATTTCCATTTCTAATTTATATTCGTTTGCTTTTTCAATTATTTATTTCATTGTGTGTATTGCATCTATTGTAGGTTTTCCTTCCGTGAATCTACATTGGTACTGTTCCACTGTCTTCTTTGTGATCTTTGATAACCTTTTTATTATTGATGTCAATATTTTATAAGTTGTATTTAGTAACGTTATTCCTCTATAATTTTCACAAATTTGTTGGTATCCCTATTTTTGTTTTGTTATGATCTGTCCTACCTCCCAGTCCCCTGGCATTTTTTTCTTTTCATATATTTTTTAATACTGACAGTATGTTTTTTCTTAGTTCGCTTCCTCCGTATTTTATTAGTTCCATATTAAGTCCATCTTTACTAGTGACTTTTCCTTTTTGCTTCTCTATATTACTTCCTCCAATTCCTCTAATGTTGGTTCTTTTGAAATTTCGATGTATACTTCATGTTTCTTCTATGTGCACTGTTTCTTCCTTTTTATTCATTTCTTCATCTGCTGTTTATAAACGAATGAAAAATTCATAGTGGAAAAAGAAAAACACTTACTACCTTTTCTGGAGGTGTTACTCACAAAGAAGAATGCAGAATTTATAACCGAAGTCTACATAAAATAAACACACATCAGCATACATTTGAGTTATCACTCGAACCAGAACTTAAACATAAAAAAGAGAATTAGACCAGTGTCGAAGCCTTTAAAAAAGGTAAAAAGTCAAAAGAAATTATAGTATAATGAAACCTATTGTAAAAAGAAGAGAATATGCTAAAATTGGAAGAAAAAATAAATTACACTCCATCCGAGGTCGGGAGGGGGGGTTTAAGGGCGAAAAATCGGTTTATCGCGATTTTCGGCGAAACTACCAGTGCTATGGAAAAAAGTTAAATAGCAAAGTTGTAGGTAACAAAAAGATCTGCAACTTTTGTATTTAGACTTTTTTCAAATAACCTCAAAATTTTTGTGGAAAATTCAAAAAACCAAGTTTTTGATTTTTTATTTGTATCTTGAAAAAAAAATTTTACGAAATTTGGTGAAAACTTGCCTTAGTATGTATCAAATACACTGTAATTTTGTGGAATTAAACAATTTATTTTTTTACATGATATTGATTTATTATCGAAAAAGCACCCTAAGTTTTAATCGAAAATGCACGGGTCAAAATGTCAGATTTTTAAAAAAAAAGTCGGTGGGATTTTTGTTCGTTGAAATCTCTACTTTCCGATAGTGTAAAAAAATATATACATTACTATGGAAACAAAAAACGCAAAAAAACGAAGAAAACTCAAAATATATACATTACTATGGAAACAAAAAACGCAAAAAAACGAAGAAAACTCAAATCGCACATTTTTTTTTTTTTCATCATTATGCAGAAGTTTGCAATGAATTGGAAGATTTTTGTAATGTTTTCTTTTGCAAATACAGAGCAGCACATTGATTTACGGGAATATGGAATAAAAAGAGATGTAGCTGATTTACAACTATTACATAAATTTTTCAACAGATATGATCTTTTTCCAGAGACTGATAACATTATGTCGATATTTTCTGGAATTATTGGCAGTACTTTTGTAAATTGTTATGAAGCGTATGAAGAAGGAGAAAAATCTTTACAAGCTGTTGTGGTAATGAATTGTGGCAGTGTCAAATTTAAAAGAACGTGAATTGGAGAGACGTGATTGCTATTTCAACGAATATCTCTAATGGTCGACAGTAAAAAAGATGTGCAGACTTATTTAAAATACGAACTTGCACCTTTTTCATTGTCACTTTTTAGCGAAAATGGTCTCAGGAAAAACGTTAAATCTCAGCTCTACGAATTATTGAGTACAAATGAACCAACGCATTCTGACGGCATTGTGCATATCGTCGACGGTGGATTTTTACTGCAAAAAGTAATTTGGCAGAAAAATGAAACGGTGGAAGAGATCAGGAATGTATATTTGTGCTATGTTGAAAAACATTATGCAGTAGGCAGCCATTTCGTTTTTGACGGCTATTCCGAAATTGAAAAATCAGTAACTGTGACACCAGCTCATTCAATTATAAAAGCAGAACGTAGTCGTAGAAAAATCTCATACAATATTCCAAAGTTTCATTATCAAAACCATACTAAAATACCATTTTTGCGGGAAACATTTTTGTCAAACGAGGAAAACAAAGATAAAATAATCAAAACTTTAATGGAAATATTATAGTCACAATTATCTTTCTGTAAACAAGCAGAAGAATATGCTAATACTGATATAATTAAGACTTCGATAGAAATTGACAGAGATACAAATAAAACTGTCATTGTCGTGGGTCAAGATATTGATCTGTTGGTCCTTTTGATTCAATTAAATGAAAATAATATTGACATTTATTTTCTTAAACCAAGTTCTGGAACTGTAAAAGATTAATTTTTCACGTCGAATAGTTTCAAATATTAATCTTGCCAAAATATCATTGCATTTCTGCATTGTTTTAGGTTGCGATACAACATCTGGATTTGCCGGAAAAGGAAAGAAAAGTATCGTAAATTCATTATTAGACGCTAAAAATTTGACAAGTCTGGTTAACATTTTTTATGAAAAAGATGCAAACAAACAAGATATCGCAAAAATGGATTACAATTAATTAAATCTATTTATAAGTGCAAAAATGGTAAGCTAACGCTAAATCAATTACGATTTAAAAAATATCAATTGACAAAAATCAAATCATCTTTCGTATTGCCAAATCTCCCACCCACAGAAGATGCAGCAGAACAATATTGTTACAGGTCATATTATCGGCTTCAAACATGTCTAGGCAACGAACTGACAGCAATTGATTGGGGCTGCAAACAACATCAACGAGGCATTATGCCCAAATTTACAGAAAAGGAATTGATCCCGGAAATACTGCTCAAAACTATTTGTTGCAGCTATGAAACTGAATGTAACAATTATTTAAAATTTGGTTGCCGAAAACATGGTTTGAAATGCACAAAATGTTCAAGTTGTCACGGCTCGGAAAAATGCTCTAATGTGGATGAAAACGCCTACGAAGAAATTAATGATAATAAATGATGAAATTGTGGATGAGGAAGTAACGCAGACAAGAAACAATATTGGAGATGAAGACGGTGATTGTCTTGAAGATTTCGAAGATCTTCTAGAACCAGAAGGCAACGAAGGAATGCCATCAAAGAGGCAAAAATTAATGATGCCCTAAAAAATATTATGATAAATATATACATCATAAATATTATATATATATATATATATATATATATATATATATATATATATATATATATATATATCTGACAAAAATCTAACTAAACATTAATAAGCCAGCTTTTTAATTGTTAAAAAAATCGTATAGCGGTCACATTTTTTTGATTGAAACTCCCTTTAAAATCTTGAAATCCTATATTGAATATTTTTAACAGCTATTTTCACATGTCTTTTTGCAGTCTTAATGTTTTGTGGATTTATATTTTTTTTGTTTATCAATATATCATGAAATCTTAAGCTACATGACTAATTACAGTATTAATTATAAGAAATATCTCAAAATTGTACATAATGATGAAAAAAAAATTGTTCGATTCGAGTTTTCTTCGTTTTTTGCGTTTTTTGTGAACATTTTTCATAGTAATGTATTTTTTACACTATCGGAAAGTAGAGATTTTAATGAACAAAAAGCTCATCGACTTTTTAAAAAAAGCTGATATTTTGATGCGTGAATTTTCGATTGAAAATTAGGGTGCTTTTTCGATAATAAATCAATATCAGGTAAAAAAATAAATTTTTCAATTCCAAAAAATTACAGTATATTTAATACATACTAAGGCAAGTTTTCACCAAATTTCGTGAAAAAAAAAATTTTTTTAAAGATAAATATAAAAAATTAAAAACTTTTTTGAATTTTTCACAAAAATTTTAAGGTTATGTGAAAAAAGTGTAAATACAAAAGTTGTAGATCTTTTTGGTGCCTACAACTTTGCTATACAACTTTTTTCCATAGCACTTATAGTTTCGCCGAAAATCGCGATAAACCGATTTTTACCCTTAAATCCCTCCCCCACTTCCCGACCTCGGATGGAGTGTAATTTTTTTTTACATTTTAGCATATTCTCTTCTTTTTTTAATAGGTTTCATTCTACTATATTTTTTTTATTTTAAAAATTATCGACCCTGGTCTAAATCATCAAATCATTATATGAAAACTTTCATTAAAATCAATTATTGTGGTTTGATCCCATGTACTCGTAAGTAAAATAACTTCATAAGATCTCCCATTATTGACATTATTATAGCATGGAATTTCTATTGTCTTATCAATACATATATCTAAACGAGTAAATTTTTTAAAACAAAAATAAATAATTATATAAAATTATTTTCCTGAAAAGGTGAATGAACATGCATCGCTTGGAGTTTTCATTGTTTTTAAAACTTGACCTTTACAATCGTAAAAACATTCTGGTATTTCCCATATTTATTATTTAATAAAATTCGCTAAATGTTTTATTACACAAAATATGTATACAAGTGATATTGTTATATAAAAAGCGAAATGACCGGTTTGTTGTGCCACATTTGGCAATGTTTGTTGGCCGTATAGTGACCCTATTCGGGTTACTTCTATTAACATGTAGTTTTGTATCTTCTGCACCAACTAAGTGCAAATGCAGAAAAATTATAGTAACACCATCTGAACAATCATGTTTGTTAGGACATCTGATACAGATTTTAACGCATTTAGTCAACAATCAACAGAATCCTGTCTGCGCAAAAGATTTTATTAAACAATTACAAGATATTTGTGAAGAAGAAGAAGAAATTTGTCCTTGTCCTTGTTGCTGCTGCAAGACTACTACACCGTGTGATATTACACCATCCTGTGAACCGTGGACAACTTGCGAATCAGATTGTGAAACAACTGAATCAGATTGTGAAACAACGGAGTCTGATTGTAGTACAACAGAATCAGATTGTGAAACAACTGAGTCTGATTGTAGTACAACTGAGTCTGATTGTAGCACAACGGAGTCAGATTGTGAAACCACTGAATCAGATTGTGATACAACAACATCCAGTTGTCAATCTACAACCCACGAGTGTGACACAACTCCCATCTGCTGCACCTCAACAACTGAACCACCTTGCGAACACACTACTCCATGTTGCAGCACAACTGAGCCAACAACACCTTGTTGCACGACAACAACTGAACCACCTTGCGACCACACTACACCATGTTGCAGCACAACTGAACCAACAACACCTTGTTGCACGACAACAACTGAACCACCTTGCGACCACACTACACCATGTTGCAGCACAACTGAACCAACAACACCTTGTTGCACGACAACAACTGAACCACCTTGCGACCACACTACACCATGTTGCAGCACAACTGAACCAACAACACCTTGTTGCACGACAACAACTGAACCACCTTGCGACCACACTACACCATGTTGCAGCACAACTGAACCAACAACACCTTGTTGCACGACAACAACTGAACCACCTTGCGACCACACTACACCATGTTGCAGCACAACTGAACCAACAACACCTTGTTGCACGACAACAACTGAACCACCTTGCGACCACACTACACCATGTTGCAGCACAACTGAACCAACAACACCTTGTTGCACGACAACAACTGAACCACCTTGCGACCACACTACACCATGTTGCAGCACAACTGAACCAACAACACCTTGTTGCACGACAACAACTGAACCACCTTGCGACCACACTACCCAATGTTGCAGCACAACTGAACCAACAACACCTTGTTGCACAACCACAACTGAACCACCTTGCGACCACACTACCCAATGTTGCAGCACAACTGAACCAACAACACCTTGTTGCACGACAACAACTGAACCACCTTGCGACCACACTACACCATGTTGCAGCACAACTGAACCAACAACACCTTGTTGCACGACAACAACTGAACCACCTTGCGACCACACTACACCATGTTGCAGCACAACTGAACCAACAACACCTTGTTGCACGACAACAACTGAACCACCTTGCGACCACACTACACCATGTTGCAGCACAACTGAACCAACAACACCTTGTTGCACGACAACAACTGAACCACCTTGCGACCACACTACACCATGTTGCAGCACAACTGAACCAACAACACCTTGTTGCACGACAACAACTGAACCACCTTGCGACCACACTACACCATGTTGCAGCACAACTGAACCAACAACACCTTGTTGCACGACAACAACTGAACCACCTTGCGACCACACTACCCCATGTTGCAGCACAACTGAACCAACAACACCTTGTTGCACGACAACGACTGAACCACCTTGCGACCACACTACACCATGTTGCAGCACAACTGAACCAACAACACCTTGTTGCACGACAACAACTGAACCACCTTGCGACCACACTACACCATGTTGCAGTACAACTGAACCAACAACACCTTGTTGCACGACAACAACTGAACCACCTTGCGACCACACTACACCATGTTGCAGCACAACTGAACCAACAACACCTTGTTGCACGACAACAACTGAACCACCTTGCGACCACACTACACCATGTTGCAGCACAACTGAACCAACAACACCTTGTTGCACGACAACAACTGAACCACCTTGCGACCACACTACACCATGTTGCAGCACAACTGAACCAACAACACCTTGTTGCACGACAACAACTGAACCACCTTGCGACCACACTACCCCATGTTGCAGCACAACTGAACCACCTTGTGAACCAACAACACCTTGTTGCACGACAACAACTGAACCCTCTTGCGACCACACTACTTTATGTTGCCCTACCACCACCGAACCATGTTGCGAAACAACACCTCCATGTTGCAGCCCATCTGAACCACCTTGTGACACAACAGAGCCCCCCTGCCCTTGCTGCGAAACTACAGCAAAATGTGACGTGCCAACTGTACCTTGTTGTGGACTCACCCTTGATCCATGCTGTGAGCACCGGCGTTCTGGTTTATATTTCATCCCGGTACTTAAAGTTGGTGGAGTTCCAGCCTTGGATCACAAGGAGTTAAAGGATTATATCCTGAACTTATTTAGCAAATTTGATTTTGGTCATCATAAATAGCGAACAAGAGGTTAGTATGAACAAAATTACCTTATTTGTCCGAGAAATATACAAGTTGCTTTTAGACATGAATTACTAGTAATATTTTTCTTACAATTTACGTTATGGGTGACATAAAAGTTCGTCTTTAAAAATAATCATTTAATTCTAGTCCCATATTTCAAATCTTAAGTACTGTATTATTCAATGTAATTCTTTGGGATGTTGGTCGCTCTAGTCAGTTTAATTATGTTTGAAAAATCAGTCAAAATTTATTTTCAGATATTTAAAATTAAAAACATCGTTTTTCACTTTTCTTCACTACAGATTGTTCGTATCATATATATTTCCTGTTTTTTGTTCTAGTGGTTTTTAAAACATTTTTAAGGGCAATACTTTAGTTTTTATATTTTCCGTGTGATATAATTCTCTTCTCTTTATTTTACTTTGAGGTACACATTACTTGTCACTAGTAATTTGTCATGAAACCTTTATTCCAAACCCTCTTCTCCACCAAGAAATGGTGTTCTCTTGATAAATGCCAGGAATTTTCGTCTAAAGAGTTTGAGTATTACTCCTTGCACAATACTTGTTTTGGCCGGTTTATACCTACCTTACGTTACTAAGTATTAACGTTCTCAGGAGACGAAGATGTTTGTTCTTTCTCTATTTCGTATTCCCTGTATCATGGTCCAGTTACCCTACCTATGTTGCTTAAATTATAAGGTTCAGTCACTATCTCTATGAACGTTTTTCTTCTCGTCTGTCATGATTAAATTGCACTGAACGAAAACCTACCCCCAATGTTGCTAATTCAATATTTTTGTCAATTCAACATTTTTTAATCGACTTTGAATTGATTTTGAATTATAACTCTTTAAATTTTCATTACAACTCTATTAACATTTTTATTTCTTTCGGTATCTTTTGTGGTTCCGCAGTATGGTCTGGGCTTTCAAAAATTTGTCTACGACGCTCTGACGATTATGTAGATTTCACATTAAAAATAGGATCTAGTTTGCCTGTGTTAAAAAATTAAATTGAGTTGATTGTTTTTTTTTTCAATCAATATTTAAAAACATTCTTGCTATAATTTTAATAAAAATATTTGCTAAATCAATAAACATAATAATGCTGCTTTGCTGAAGCGCTATTTGACACTGATTACGTGTATTTTAGTCAAAAAGAAAGTCGGACAGCCTCTAGCGAATTTTAAAGGAGCTCTCTCGTCAACTCTTTTATTTGTCTTGGATCGATCCGTATACCATACAAATGTATTCATCTTCAACAGACGTTAGGTGATTCTATAACTATTTTGAACGGTATATCAAAATTGAATTTAATTGCCATGGTTTCTGTTAATGAGCTTAAGATTTCCGATTAAACTTTCCACAGGTTCCTTAAGTGACTAATCAAGTTTACGGCTTCATTTTTTGTATTAAGGGCACACCTTATATTCCTTAAAGTCTTTACTAACAATTCAATTCCTTTGGTTTAAATACCCCGCTATCATTACATCATGACTATATCAACAGTTATCGACGAGTAACCTCTCGGACTGTTGTGCATAGTCATGTCAGCATTATTGGAAATCTTGATGACGTCATTCTAGTGAACATTTTAAACATATTTATTATAAAAGTCAATGAATAAATACAATTTTTATATTCGTTATTGTTTATTTAGGTAAATATGATATGTCTAGAGTACCTGAATACAATAGTACATTATGTCAATGATCTTTGATATTGGGACCATAGAAATATAATACAAAAATACACTGATCCGTTTCCCCTTAGTGCGACAGAGAAAACCGACGCAAGGAAGTCCCTGCATCTCTTTCTAATGGACCGGGCTTATCCACCACGTGATCTTCCTATTGGAGATTTAGGTCACGCGGTCGATGTACTCGGCCCTTTAGAAAGTCAGTAAATTTGTATTATATATCCATGATTGAGACAATTAACCTAACCTAACCTTACCAAACTAAATATTTAATACTTTATTTAAATTTTAATGAATGGTGGAATACCTTGCTGAACTTAAATATTTTAAATGAACGAATTCTTTAAAAATAAATAAAACCTTTCATGAACATTCGAAGGCAGAAAAAAGGTACACCACTTTTATTTTGTGAAGAGAATTTTCTATACTGGCGTTATCAAAAAATAGATTGAAAGCATGGGAAAGAAAGATACTTTGCATAATGTTTAGTTTAAAAGTAGTAAAGGGAAAATAAAGAAGACGAACTAATGCAGAAATGTACCACACCAATTGTATGCTCTACAATAACAAAAGTGGTGAAAAAACGTAGACTAGAATGGCTCTGACATCTAGAAAAAATGCAAGGTAATAGACTAGTCAAAAATATTGTTTAGAGAGTACATGAGGCCAAAAATAAGAAGGGAAGACCAAGAAAGAGATAAATGGAGAGATGTAGTGATAAAACATGTCAGAGAGATGGGAATCAGAGATTGGAAGCTAAGAGCTCAAAACAGAAAACGATAGAAATTATCCATCCAGCGATGGGCCTAAAAGGACTAATAACGCTATACCTACATACCTACAACAAGTCAAATATAAGTGAAACGTTTAAAACATGGCGACTTCAGTGGATGAGACACCTAGAATAAATGCCATATTAATTAAACGAATAGCACTTAAAAAAACAAAATCTAGTAGAAAAAAAAATAAATAATTACGAAGGAAACGCGATTTCTAGGAAAAATAAGAAGTTCGTACGGTCTTGCGCTTAGATGAAGCGAAAGGAGACCTTGATCTATATTAATCTTTCCAACCACCATCCACTTTGCCTTTGAAGTGTTAATTTTAAGTCCTCTCCGATAACTTGCTTCACTGACTAATTTTATCAAAGTCTGTTACTAATTTAGAGAACTTGTAAATTTTCTGCAAGAACGGCTATATGTTCAGCGTATCTGATATTGTTGATTACTTCTCCGCCTAGTCTTACCTCCTCTTGTCTGTCATCCAAAGCCTCCCCAGATTAGTCTGAAACCGCTGTATTTATTGGGCTTTCTATTCTTTTTGTAATGTTATAAACAGTTACTAAAACCAATGATCTGGTATTTTTCCTTCGTTGTAAATGTTGCTAAAGAAAGTTTAAGTAGCTCAGCAGGGATTTGATCTGGTCCAGCTGCTTTATTATTTTTGCTTGCTGTATTACTATTATTCTGAAGCTATTTCCTTGTGGCATTTTAAAGTTATTACAATTTTAAAATAAATAGTAAAAATAAGTTTACTGGCGTTTCAATCTCTACTTCAGAAATTTTTCTCAAAATACAAACATATATTAAATAATTAAGTGGAGAATAAAACGTCAATTGTGGCTTATTTCCATTAAAATAGTAATTGTTGTATTGCTTTCCTAACTTTGTCAGGAAAGTAAATACAAATTAGTATTTGTATGTGTAGCATTTTCTATATTTTCATTTAATTTTTCAATACGCGTCAAATAACCAAGGTACTACAAATTAACGGTCACGTTTTAAACAATATAAAATAATTAAAACATAATCTTGAAGATCTACAAACACTTCTTCAAAGACTTAAAGGTGCAATGCAAAACCTAAAAACGAACCTTAAAACAATTTAATTTGTGATAATCACAACAAAGATTATATGTAAAGAACTTTTGCAGTAGATAATATACTTATAGATAAGATAGAATTAAGAATAACAAAAGCAAGACTGACATATATTTTACCTCCGTCGAGAAGATGGAACATGAAGAAGAAAAGAAGTGATACACAGATTGTAATACATAACCATCAATTCGATTTGTCTTTGTAGATTACAAAATTTCTTTGTTCTTGTGTTAAAACTATGTAGTTTCGCGACAATAATAGATAATTTACATTAAATCTCTATGTCTAGAGTATTCTGAGGTATGTAAATAAACAAATAATTTTAGGAGTTAGATCTGAAGAATACTATGAGAGTTTAAGCAATTTTTACAATATGCATTCATATGCATCTCATAGCACCTGTTTTAGTAATTTATGCCTTCAAACTTATCTATACACAATATTCACTATTACTGATTCTCCCTTGCTTAAGATAATCAATGACTTGCTTTCCAAAAAACCGTGTTTCGTTCATTGTCACATAACCATGCAAAACCTCTTAAGTGTGCTGAAATAGTTACAAACAACGCTCTCAATAGTCTACACGTTATTATTTTTATTTAACTGGGTGCAAACGCAGCGCCTACTTTGACCAAAGCTTTATTATTTACCCATGTTTAAAATAAAAGGCTTTCTAATATTCGGAGATGAAGCACCGGAAAATTACAGAGGAATTAATTTATTAAACACAACACAAAATTAACAACCAAAGAGATAACAAATAAACTGAATGAAATTATAATACTAGCAGAAGAACAACAAGGTTTTAGGTAGGGAAGATCATGCACCGATGCTATATTTATAATGATGCAAGTGCAAGAGAAATCATTAGAATACAAAAAACCGGCATATTTATGTTACGTGGATCTTAAGAAGGCATTTGACCAGGTCAAATTAAACGACGTTATCCACTTACTGTACGCAAGAGAGATACCTCTAGGAATAATTAAAACGATCAAAAATATCTACCAAAACAATACAATAAAAGTAAAAGTAGAAGAATAACTAATCGACCCTACTGAGGCTAGCAATGGCATAAAACAGGGAGTTTCCCTAGGTCCTCTATTGTTTAACCTGATTATGGATGAAATAATAAAAAAGCAATAAATAAAAAAGGATACCAGATGGATAAAAAGTAACTTAAAATAATCTGCTATGCAGACAACGCAATACTACTCTCTCAAAGTGAAGACGATTTACAACGTATGCTGCACCAATTTAATATAACTACCAGAAAAAGACAAAATGCATGGTTACAACGGCAAAGATGTATACTGGAGCTGTAAGGTCAGATAAGAGAACAAGTGATGGAGTTTCAATATCCAGGCATCACATTATCTAGCTACGAAAAGCTCGAAACTAAAGTAGAAGATCAAC